CCCCGGCCTCCGGGCCCCGCCGGTGCGCCAGCCTGTTCCCTTGCCCCGCCGGTTCCCCCGCATGCCGGCGCGGCTGCTGCCGTGTCACCGCTGCGCTTGGGAGGCCCGGCCTTGGAGTAGCGGGGCCCGGGGAAGGGGGGAGTCGCCGCTCTCCTGTCATTTCTGTGGCCGCCGGTCCTTCTCCGTGAGGTCTCCCTCTGGCTGCAGCGGGAAGGAGAGGCCCCGAAGTGGGCGATGGAAGCCCTGCCGCCGTGCGAGGGAGCGGGGAGGGGGAAAACTCGCCTCGGCTCTGGCTTTTCCTCCCCCTCGCCCCGGAGGGCCGGCTGTGGGCGCCTGTCAGAGGCCAACCCTGGCCCCGCCGGTGTCCCCACGGGAGCCGGTGCGGTTTTGCAGCATCACTCCGGGGGTGTGCGAGTAGGCGATGTGCAAGACACTCGCAGCCTCTCCCCGGTGCAGCCTGACCCGCTGGCCTGGCAGCCCAGCCCCCCCCCCCAGATTGTCATCTTTCAGGCAAGTTCTCGGCACGTAAACAGGCAGCTCAGCCCTTCCTTCGGAATGAGGGGAAACGAATGTGTGCATTTCGGAAGTTTCTGTGTGTTGGATATTGCGTGCCGACCGCATGACTGTGACCGGCGTGACATGCGGCTGTCAAAATAGGTCTCAGCGCGGTTACCTTGTGGGAGTTTTTCTCTCCTAATAAATTAGCTAGTTGTGAAAAGGAAGGCTCTTCCAAAGATGACTGATCCTTGAAAGGTAGGGGCATAATAAAAAGCGTGATAGAATAAGTAGTTTTCAGTAGTGACTATATTTTACTTCCTGTGACTATATTTTATACCCATAAGGGACATTGAGAAGAATCTCAAGAACATTTTGGATTTAGGATCAGCAACGTTTTATATTTTTTAAAGCAGTTAATGTTATCTGAACATATGTTTTAAATTTTGTGACTAGTGTCAGCACATTTACTTGCCTAATCTTATAAACATTTATATTTTCCATTTTTAGTAGACTCATTTTCATTGTTTTAGAGGGACTGAGTGCAATTTATGATGTTGTAAAAATCTTTAAATGGATAAATAGATCAAATTAATGTTATATTAGAGAACACTGTATTCCCCAAAATACCTTTGGCTGGCCTGACTTTTAGAAATAAAGCTTGAGTCTGGTTTATCAACAAGATTTTTAACAAATTATACTTGTTTTATTGATCCGTCAAATCAATTAGAAATGAAAATTTGTCTGATCACACATATTAATTTCTTTAAAACATCAGTTTTTAAATTGCACATTCATAGTCAGGGTCAAAACCATAGTGGAAACTTACCTTTTTCACTTCTGTTTTGGTTGTAAAAATGCTACCAAGTCTGGCTGCACTCAGATTTCAATACACTGTATTCTTATTGCAAGAACAGGTTGGAGGAACATGCAGGATTTTTAAATTTGTTGTATTAAATTTAAAAGCTACTGTGTCTAATACGAAGCTTTCAAATGTTGAGCTGTCTTCAAGCTGAAAGTAAGCTGTATTTATGTGATATGAAACAAAGTATTGATACAGGGAATGTATAATAAATACTAGATTAGAAATTCTGTCGTATGAAGCTGTTGTCAGTCAGTGATCTTTATTGCTCTGTACTTAGAGCATGAAATGTGTATTCTTTAGGTATAAACTTTGTTTTCAGGCTGATGCATATATTAGGAAAATTTCTATACAGCAGACTAAGCAAAAACAAAATCTGAAGCATAATGAGACTGCAGTCTTAATACTCTGTGGAAAGCACTCTATTACTATATTATTACAGTAATATACTATAGAAAGGGCTATCTATTGAGAGAGTATTGAGTGCATTATCAATAAATATTTTCTAACTGCTTATTATTCTGAGGTGTTTAAAAAGGTTTGTGAGCCACAAACTAATTCAGTTCTTAAGTACTACATATTGGCAGAAGGGAATTCCAAGTGTTATCTTTTAAAAAGTAATTGGTTAGTAAGAGAATGTATGACTCAGAATAAATCAGTGTAGGAAAAGCAAACAACTTAGTTTTAAAAAAAATTGTGTATTTTTTCAGTGCAACTGGTTATTCAAAGTTATTTTATTGGGACAATTATCTATTATTATTGACTTAATATTGTTGATGTGTATGTAACAGAGATCCAGTTGAAGTCTAAACATCTGAACTGGACAAATAGTTTTACTGGTTTTCTTGACTCAGGGGAGACCTTATCACTCTCTACAACTACCTGAAAGGAGGGTGTAGAGAGGCGGGGGGTGGTCTAGTCTCCCAGGTCACAGGTGATGGGACAAGAGGAAATGGCCTCAAGTTGCACCAGGGGAGGTTCAGGTTGGATATTAGGAAAAATTTCTTCACAGAAAGGGTTATCGAGCATTGGAATGGGCTGTCCAGGGAAGTGGTTGAGGCACCATCCCAGGAGGTGTTCAAAAGACGAGTTGACATGGTCCTCAGGAATATGGTTTAGTGTTGGTTTTTTTGTTTTGTTTTGTTTTGTTTTTTATGGTTGGACTAGATGATCTTAAAAGTCCCTTCCAACCTAGACGATTCTGTGACTCAGAAACTTATAATGAATCAGCTGACCTTTAGCGTAACAGTGAAATGTGTTAGTATGGCCCTACACAAACAATGATTTAAATTAAAAATTACATAGGGCTTATCTTAAGGAGTTGTTGACAAGGCTTTAAATTCATCATTGGCTGATGAAACTGTCTTTTTTTTTTTTTTTTTTTTTAATCTACTTTACTTGATCAGCAAAAATAAGGTCTATAATACATTTATCCTGAATTTTATTCCACACAGCTCAGGAATATGTTCCCATAGTGGCTAACACATCACATATTTCCCTTGGTGACCAAAAGATTTGTGTCCTGTTATTATAGTACTTTGCATTCTTACAGATTTCAGTCATTAATACTGTTTTGGCTTATGGTTAATTCCCTCTGTTTCTGTGATAGCTAGGTTTCTTTGGATTCTGGAAGCATCAGGAATACCTAAGGAAAACCACAAAACAAATAAGTACTTTTCAGAGTGTTGTGCAAATGTGACAAGGGGAAAAATTGTGCTTAAAAGTGACGAAACTAAGAGGCAGTTAATATAAAATGTGATACTGCTTTCAGAGACTCAGGAGCATTGAGAATTTGCCTTGTGGTTCTTGTATCCGGGTCTTCAGCCATATTACTCCTGTAGGTTAGCTTTCTTCTGTATTTTAGTCTAATGCATTTTGTTTAACTTCTCAAATCTGAAGTTGTTTGGGTTTGTTTAGGACTGGATAGGAAGAACTGAAACATGAGACACTTAAAAGCAAGTACTTTGGAAGGTGGAACAGCCTCTGCATCTTATTGAGGTTTTTTCATGTGACTGATGCATATAATCATTGTCTGTAGCTCTAGTTTAGTGAAGATTATGGTAATCTAGAATTGGTTCCTTGTGAGTAAATACATTTTTATTTAATTTTTTTTTTTAACAGTGCCATAGTTAGATAGCAAACCTTGAAGTTTTCAGTTAAAAGATTTATAGCATTTTTATGGAAACTCAGTCTTCCTTTAAGTCAAAGAAGCCAGTTTTGCAATTCTAAGTAATGTGTATTTAAATTGGTCTTAGATGATGGTCCCTTTTAAAAAACCTCCGCCAAATCTTTAAATCAGTCATAAGACATGCTTTTGCAATACCTAATTGAAAATCAACACTAGTTGATTTGATGAGCCTTGGAAGATTAGTAGACAGTGTTCAGAATTTGAATTTCGCGTGATTCAGAGGTGTCTGACTATTGCTATAGTCAGACATTAAAATGTCTGAATATTCTAAAATGACATCCTTTATTGAAGTTCTTGCTTACAAGTGTGTGAAATCCAGTTATATTACCTTTGTAAATATCTCCAAATAACGAGGCACACTTTTTTTTTTTTTTTTGTTATAACCTCGAGGCTAGAAATAATTCAGCAAGTAAGCAGACTAAAATCAAATTTTGGGCATGTCTGTGTGCAATAAATTTTCCCTTTGATGGTTTGAGTTAGGGGGAGAGGTTAGTATAACAGACGATGTTTAATTTCTGATTATTAATCTGATTCATGATCTAGGATTGTTAGTGTATAAAATCAGCTATCAGTTGGTATGCTGACTTTTTCCAGGTGAGGTAGAGAGCACTTCACTTAAGTATTATGGCTCATTCTGAAATGCAGATTTCAACGACCTTTTAAATAACACAAAAATATTGCTGTAGATTATTTTGTAAGCGTCACAGTGCTGTTGGTAGCATTGAAAGCCACAGGCTATGTGTTGCTGCAAATCGAGAAGGTGGAATTTAAAGGTAAAAATAGCTCAATGTTAAATGCATCCCCTGCCCTCAAGGTCTGTTGCCAGAATTGGCCCAGGATATCCTTTAGTGTAGGCAGGGTTTGAAGTCCTCAAATGTGTTCTTGCTGCCTTCTTTGTGTGTGTCTTGATTATGTAAAATTTTATGCCTGTTTTCATTCTGTTCCAAGTACAAGCACATTTGCGATGCCCAGCTTCCTAAGATAGGTTAAAAAACAGTCAATAGGGCTGGCAGTTTTCTGATATCTTCATTCAAGAACGTTTTCGAAATGAAACAATGTAAATGCAGAGGGGAAAAGTGGTTCTAAGTGATTACTAACGCAGTTGTGGCTTTTAGCTGCTTAGAAATGATTGCATTTAGGTTAATATTTTTGCTGGCTTGAGTATTGTGTAATGACAAAGATTGAACATCCCATAGAATGACTCAGTATTCAACAAGTAGTCTAGGACTTTTTTTTTTTTTTTTTTTTTTTTTTTAATTCAAGAAGGATTCCTGGAATCGTTTACTCTTCCTATTTATCTGTACTTCTATCCATTGTTTCCTGGCTCAAATATAATAGTTGTTAGGTTTTTGGGGTTTTTTTAATGATAGGTATTAATGAAAATTGGGACACAAAATGATTGGGGGAAATGTGTTGAGGAAGAGAAGGGAAGATTTTTTTTTTTTACCAGGTGTTGCTTAGGAGGAGATGTTATTTTTTTACATATATCTCTACCATGGTGTTAAACTGCACTTAAAACTGATTAATAAAAGGGGAGTTGTATTGATCTGTGAAGTCAGATGCATTATAAGTGTTGGATTTTTTTCTTGTGATGATAGAAGTACAGAGCAGTGAAGATTTGAAAGTTTTTTTCCTTCACCATCTTCACTAAACAGAGAAACACAATCCAAACCTCATTGTCTTGTATTTCCAGTGTACTCGTTGGTATAAAAGCTTCACCTTTACATTGTAATTAGTGTGAAGTGTCCACTCATTCTGCCTGCTGATAGCCTAAGCCAGTGTTCTAGATCACTGTAATACATTATTATTAATATTGTAAAAAATATGGTATTAGACATGAACACTGTACCGTTGTTCAAGGCCAAGTTGAAAAGTAGAAACTTACCATGACCAAGAGGGGCTTTTTTATGCATCAGTTAATAGGTCTGCATATTTAGTGCTCCAACTGTCCATTGTGGTATTATAAATTGTTCCTGTTTTGGCTTGACTGTGGTATGTGGATATGTTGTACTTTCTGACCAACTTTGTCTTTGGGAGATGCTTGTTAACCAGATCTTTGTGACCATCAGTCATTGAAGGGTTATTACATTCTCAGGCTTACAAGCCATAAATTCAAGTTGGAAAAGGCTGCTGGAGAGAACTTGCTGTGTGTAAAATGAAAAAAAAAAATAATCACTGACTAATTAGAAAAGTATTATATTTTCCAGTGTGAAAGTTGTCAAATTACAAGGCTTTTATTGTCAGATGAGCCAGATCGGTGTGTATAAACTAATTTCCTAAAATTAAAAAAAAAAAAAAATCAGCAAAATTACTCTACTAAGATAATTTCTGATGTGGTATTGTTGAAAATAAAAATGCAGAACCAGAAGTTAGAATTTTAGTAACTTTATCTTGTGATAGTGATCTTGGCCTCTTTAGTTTCGCTTGTGTTTCAGTGTTGTATTTTTTTTGTATTGTATACAGTTATTTCATTGCATTGTAAATTATTTGACAATGTAGATGTCATACTTCATTGTATGGTTTGAAAATACTTAGAAATACATGGTTATGTAAATGAAAATATTTTCAGTTTATTTCTCTATGAACAAGGTCTTGAGAGTTAAGGTAGTTTGCTAAATATTATCCTGGTGCAGGACTTCTCGTGTTTGGATTTAATGACATGATCAAGGAAGAAAAGAAAAAGAATTGTTTGCCTGAATTTTAAGAAGATAGTCACATCAGAATTTTTCCCTGCTATGTCTCTCAAAATGTGGTCTCACTTGGAGTAATTCTTAATTTGACACTTCAGTGCTTGAATAGGCCTGACCTTGATGGTATGCAAAGCCTTAGAGGAAAGAATAATTAAAGACATGGAGGAAAATGGAACGTAGAATAAAATGCAGCATGAGTGTCCCAGGCAGAACGTGTCAGTCGGATCTGAGACCTCCTTCTCACTCTGTGTCTGTTTTTTTCCTGTGTCTCTTCAGTGTGCAACCCCCAAACAAAATCTCATCTTAACACTGGATTTACTGGATGTCATGACAGTATTTTATAGAATCATAGAATGGTTTGGGTTGGGAGGGACCTTTAAAGATCACCTAGTCCAACTCCCTTCCTATGGCCAGGAGGGAGTCCAGGGGGAATCTTTCACTAGATCAGGTTGCTCAAAGCCCCATCCAGCTTGACCTTGAATGCTTCCAGGGATGGGGCATCAACAGCCTTTCTCGGAAACCTGTCTCACCGCTCTCATCGTAAAAAAGTTCTTCAATATGTCCAATCCAAACCTACCCTCTTTCAGTTTAACTCTGTTGCCCCTTGTCCTGTCACTACAGGCCTTGGTAAAGAGTCTTTCTCCGTCTTTCTTGCAAGCATGCTTTATATATTGAAAGGCTGCAATAAGGTCTCCCCAGCATTTTCTCTTCTCCAGCCTGAACAACCCCAACTGTCTTAGCCTTTCTTCACAGGAGAGGTGTTCTGACCATATTTGTGGCCTGTGGCCCTCCTCTGGACCCCACTCTAATGGTACTATGTCTGTCTTGTACTGGATGTCCCAGAGCTGCATGCAGTACCCAGGTGGTGTCTCTCATGAGAGTGGAGTAGAGGAGAACAACTACCTCCCTCAACCTGCTGGCACTGCTTCTATTTATGCAGCCCAGGATATGATTGGCTTTCTGGGCTGCAAGTGCGCATTGCCAGCTCATGTTCAATTTTTCATCCTTGAGTATCCCCACGTCCTTCTCCACAGGGCTACTCTCAATCCATTCATCCACCGGTCTGTACTGGTATTGGGAATTGCCCTAACACAGGTGCAGGACCTTGCGTTTAGTCTTGTTGAATGTTGAGGTTCATGAGAGCCCACCCCTTTGTGGCATGAAGCCTGTCAAGGTCCCTCTGGATGGCATCCCTCCCCTCAAACAAATCAACATCCCCACTCAGGTTGGTGTAATCTGCAGACTTGCTGAGGGTACCCTCGATTCCACTATGTCATTGATGAAGACAAGTGTGGACCAAGAGGGACACCACTTGTTACTGGTTTCCATTTGGACATTGGCTGTAACCCTTTGTACACGACCACCCAGCCAGTTCCTTATCCAGCTAACAATCCATCTGTCAAATCCATATCTCTTCAGTTTAGAGGTAAGAATATTGGGCCAGACTGTATCAAAGGCCTTACAGAAGTCCAGGTAGATCACATCTGTAACCCTTCCCTTGTCCACCGATGCAGTCACTCCATTGTAGAAGGCCACTAGATTAGTCAGGCGTGACTTGCCCATGGTGAAGCCACGTTGGTTGTCTCTAATTACCTCCCTGTCTTCCATATGTTTTGACTTACCTTACATGAGGATCTGTTGCATGATCTGAACATTAATTATTTGTTACCAAGGTATCTGCAAAATTAAGTTGCAGGTAAAAGATCTTAGTGGAAAATCTTAGGTGGAGAAGGGACAAGTGATAAAATAAACTGCAGCACAGCTGTTGGGCTATTGGAAGCTTAATAAGGACGTTTCTAAAGGATGTGTTTGAACTTGGTTTAGTATCTTCATTAATGACTTTGGTGTGGGTGGAAGTGTGCTGGTAGAGCTCATTGGTAATGCAAAGCTAGGAGATGTAATGAACACAAGAAATGGTGCGTTCGATGTGTGCTAATAATAGAACTGCTGTTTTCTCATTTTACTTGGAAGTGATGAAGAAAGAGTAAAACTAGAGACTAGTACTTAATCGCACATTTATTGCGAGTATGACGAGTCATGAAACGGGGAAAATATGGGACTGTAGTTTTGTAGTGAGGGAAGTATTAATGTGAAGGTTTATGACATTATTGAAACTTATCTGAATGCATCCTAGTCAGGGAATGAACCCAAATGGGAATGGTGCAAAGAAAAAGTTATTAACATAAGTGGAGTAGTTTTGCTTATTTATCTTAGCAAAATGAAGACTGAAAGGGGATCTGATTGCTATCTATAAATACATCAGAAGAGGTAAGCACTAGGGAAAAGAAAATCTGTGTAGTCTGAAGGATAGGATTGGTACAAAAATGAACGGCATCAAGTGGCTATAAACGTATTTAGATGATTAGAAACTAGTTGAATTTCAAATCTGAATCATGTCAGTCTGAACCAACGTTCTAAAAATTATGTGGGCAAAAATAGTTTTAAATTCATCAGGTATCATCTTACAAAATGGCTTGTTTCATGTGGACTTTAGAAGGCTTCTCCTAGGTCATGAGGTTACGATGTTCCTGAAAGTTTGGTAGGACAATGGTGGTACCTAATTATGTGCTTAAGCTAGAAGCCAATATGTCATGTTATATTTGAAGACGTTACAATAGCTTGACAGAGATATGTGTTTAATGTTTTTTTCTTTGTGAGAAGGGATGTTCATAAATTCAAAAATCACATACGTAGGAGTAACTGCTCCATATGTGAATTAAACTTAGTAATTATAATTCATAGGAGTATGATGTTGATTTAACAGGTTTAACATGTTAACAGTATGATGTTAATATGGCCACTAAGTTGAGTAGTCCCAATGAAAGTAAAAACTGTTTGGTTTTTAATTTGGATGTCTACTAGACATCTTCTAGACTTGTTCGATGTTCCAACTTAAGTTAGAACACTAGCTGCTTCTTTCCGTAGAAGTGAGCTGACTGGTCCTAGGAAGTGTGGCTGCTTTAGCTCATCTTGGTGCTGTGATGTGAAGGTAATGAGGGAATGGAGTTTGTGATCCTGTCTGAGTTACAAGACTGTGACTGAATGCAACTTTTCTTTAAAGCAGGTGTTTGTTTTCCTGAGTGACTGTAGGATGTACGGTACTTGGCTTTTGGAGATTTGGGAAATGGAGGCCTGTAGTCTGTGCTTCCAGAGAATGAAAGGTCACCCTGAAATCAAATGAGCTGTTCATGTGTTTGGGATGTAGTCAAGTATTAGCCAGACATGTCTGTAAGGAATTTTAATGTCTGATGTATAAGTCTGTTTAGACAGGGCTTTGTCTTATGTGCTGAGGTTGGATACCACCTGACAGTCAAACACCTGAAACTGTTTCATTTTTTTAAAAAAAGAACTTTCTGGGCTTTTGTGCACACTGGGAGAAGTGTGAAATTGATTTATTGTTAAAGTTGCTTAGTTACACTCTTGGGAGACTACTTGCAAGAAAACCTATGAAAACCACAAGGGCTCCAGTCCTGTTTAATGTTTGAGTTGGGCCTCTAATACCTAGTTCTTGGGGCACACTGGGAAAAGTACTATGTAACAGCTTTTGGTCAGCTTTTCTGTGGAAAGACTGCTTTTTCTATGTACTACTGCAGCTGTCATCTGAGATGATAACAAGTATTCTGATTACTGCTGTAGAGTTTGAAGAGTATCTTGTATGATGCAATTCAGATCAGAAAGGTGTATCCAACTGGAAATTTAGTATTTGAGGATGCATACATATTTTACGCTGCTTAACATTTGAATATTTTAAACAGCAGATCTTGGCTTTTCAGCATCACTGAGGCCTTTTGTAAACTATAGCAGGTTAGAATACAAAGCAAGTTTAAAAGGAAAAAGAAAGGGAAAGGTTACTTGTTTATTTAGTTTTGTTGTTCAATCTGCTAGTATTCTTTGAAATCTAAGACCCTCTGTAGTTATCAAACTCATTAGTTATCCTACCGTATGCAAAGGGAAAAGTTGCTACAGCCAGCAGGGTTTATAACACAGCTCTTACTGGACTAAATTGTTAGTATTGCATCTGTACTGGAAGATTGCTCGTTAGTTAGTTAGTTCAGGACTTTTGGGGATAATTTTCTGATGTAAATGTTCATGTTTAGCAGTAGTAAAATATTTCAACTGTGAGAGTGCTTTGGGATGAATAATACTTTATTGTTATCTTAAGACTTTGTCCTAGTAGAATTAGGAGCTACCAATTTTAGGATGCTCATATTGTGTCTTTGGTGAGAATGACAATGTAGCCAAATAAATGGCAGGTAAGAAATTCACAATGATGTGGAGGTTGAGTTGAAGTAACAAACATGCCTTTGGTGTTAGCAACATGACAGTGCTTTAATAATGGCACTCATTCAATAGGAAAAATACCAAGAATAGACATAGGACTGAATTGGACTCAGACTGCTAGATTTTAAAGCTTAAGCTAAATACAAGCATTAATATATTTGGATGAAGTTATTCCATGTTATGCCATCTAATTAGTAGTGGGTTTTGTTGTTGAGGCTGAAGAAACCATTGTTCATATTTAAAATTAAATGCAGGACAATCTCATTTTAGTCAGTATTTTATCTACTATATAAAGTAGATAATGTTCTCTTTACCACAGTTCATGGTAATGATCTGTGGCTGTTCTTTACCCTATAGATAGATGCTTCCTGCATTTTTACTGTGTTTTTTTGTCCACTGACAACAGGTCAGTAACAACAAGCTGGGGTGAATATGAAGTTTTGATCCAGAAAGAAAATGTGAGGAAAAAAAATGTTTGTTTTGTCTGCTTTGAAATGCCACTGTATTGTATTCCTGTCTGTTTTCTGTTGGAAGGCAAAAGGCAGGCAAAAGGTCTCTGTCCCCATTTCTTTTACACCAGCATCCAGTAAAGCATGCATGCCAGAATCAGCACAAGCTGCTCTAGTAAGCTGTATAGCCATATATAGGCTCTGCTTATTCCTTTGACAGAGGGAGATGAGCTCTTTTAAGATTTAAAAATGGGCATTGTCTCAGCAATTTTTAGAAGGAAAAAAGTCTTTGATGAGTGCATCATCAGCATGTCATTGTGGGGAGCTCAGATAAAATCTGATGTTACCTGTGGTAAACAGTGGTAGCCTCGAATCAGCCTTCAGGAGCTGTGGACATTGAGGTGTCTCAGCTTTCTTATAAAGCCTTTTTTGCATTCTGACATTTACATGCAGGTTGATGATAAAACTAATAACTATTTCTCAAGTGCCAGGGTAGAATAAGAAGTGAAAGATTATATATTATTGCTCTAATATATGGATATCTACCTGAGAGCCATGGTTATTTGTAGGTATTATTAATCTCGCACCGTCATCCACTGATTATTCCTGATCATTCAGACCTGTAATATTGAAGTATTAATCCATGAAACCTAAGCTGTTATGCTTCATAGGCCGTGAATAATTTTAACATGATTTGCTAGAGCCAGAATTTTTCTTCCAGTTGAAAAAGGTATTTGTATGGCCATGGTTTTGGTATTTCAAGAGGAAGGAATTATATTCATTGGCAGTGCATGTTATGGGTTCTCTTCAGATTGTTTTCACAGAAGTCTGAATATTAATTTCTTAAAACTAATTTATGGAAATAAACACTTTCTTTTGCATCAGCTGTGTCACCTGTACTTTTTTTCAGAAAGTACTACAAAATTCCATTTGGAGCAATTAAGTGCTTTGTGTTTATTTTAAGATCAGTTTTCTTATCTGGCAGTCGAGGTAGTTTGACTCGCTACAGAACACTGGTCTTTCATTTTTAGACATATTTTCTTCGGTACCCTTAGTGAAAGATGATCAGGTCAGAGAGTACTTAAGTAAACTGGATGTAACTAAGTCCATGAACCCTAATGGAATGCACCCACAAGTGCTAAGAGAGCTCATAGATGGAGAAAAAATGCTGACACTAACTTTGTGAAGTTCAACAAGGAGATGTCCAAAGTCCTGCACATGGGGAGGAGGAACAACCCCCCTGTGCACCAGTACAGGCTGGGGTCTGACTAGCTGGAAAGCAGCTTTGCAGAAAAGGCCCTGGGGATCCTAGTGGACACCAAGTTGACCATGAAGCAGCAATGTGCCCTTGCAGCGAAGAAAGCCAATATGCTGGACTGTATTGGGAGTGTTGCCAGCAGGTCAAGGGAGGTGATCTTTCCCCTCTGCTTGGCATAGGTGGGACCACAGGGAAAGCAGCTTTGCAGAAAAGGCCCTGGGGATCCTAGTGGACACCAAGTTGACCATGAAGCAGCAATGTGCCCTTGCAGCGAAGAAAGCCAATATGCTGGACTGTATTGGGAGTGTTGCCAGCAGGTCAAGGGAGGTGATCTTTCCCCTCTGCTTGGCATAGGTGGGACCACAGCTGGAATGCTGGGTCCAGTTCTGGGCTCCCCATTATAAAAGACACATGAACATGCTGGAGAGAGTTCAGTGAAGCCCCACAAAGATGATGAAGAGACTGGAGCATCTCTGTTACGAGTAAAGACTGAGAGACCTGAGACTGCTCAGCCTGGAGAAGGGAGGGCTCAGGGGGATCTCATCAGAGGATATAAATACCTGAAGGTAGAGTGCAAAGAAGATGGAGCCAGCCTTTTGTTGGGGGTGCCCAGCAACAGGACCAGAGGCAATGGGCACAACCTGAAACACAGGAGGTTCCCTCTGAACATCAGGAAACACCTCTTTTTTTTTTTTTTTTTACTGTAAGGCTGACTGAGCAGTGCAACAGCTTGTCCAGGGAGGCTGTGGGCTCTCCATCCTTGGAGATACTCAAAAGCTGTCAGGACATGGTCCTGGGCAACTGGCTCTGTGTGTCCCTACTTGAGCAGAGGCCTTGGCCTGAATGACCTCCAGAGGTCCCTTCCAACCTCAACCATTCTGTGATTGCTGCATCAAATGATGGGAAAGAAGCAATTAAATTTTGGACCAATTAAAAGAAATACTTCTCAAATTGTCAAATGAAGTAAATGATTTTTCTTTGCCTGCCCAACCTGGCTTTATTGTGCGCTGAAATAAAACTACCTTGCCTGAGTTTGTTTTAGTAAACGTGCCTTGAAGTGTTCTGTATGTTACAAGTGCTCTTGGAATTTCAAAGGTGATGAAGCAGTTGTGAAAAAACAGCATTCCACTTGAAGCATATAATCCCAGTATTTTTTGAAGTTAACACTGTAGCTTACACATTTTAAGGAGTTTGGATTCCTTTTTCCAGTCTGTGTACTCTTTTATGTGGATTTACATTGTTTTTAGATGTGGCTGAATATATCACTTTATTGTGCCAGTTTACAGCTTAAATAAACTTTAGTTCTTTGCATGAAATAAGTACTTTCTGGCAGAGTCAGTTTAGGTATTAGCTTTTATAACAGCTACAGTTCAATGTCTTAAATTGAAGAGGTCAATATACTTAATACTTTAACTGCTTAATTTAAAATGCTATTGAATGTGTTTAATAATGCATGCTCATTTTTGTACAGCTCAACAAGTTATCTGCCTTCTAATTGTCAAATATTTTATGTAATTTAATAAAATGGTAATTTCTTATCCAATTTTAGGTAGAGATTATATTCTGTGACAGGCTTTGTGTGTACATTATGACAGCCTTGATAATTTTGAATGTAGCTTCTCGATAACCAAACCTGTCCACTTCTCTGAAGTTCTTTGTGTTTGCTCTGTACAACCAACAACTAGAGATACTGACAGAAATCCCTCACATTTCCCAGGGGTACTACAGGCTGAGAAGATTGATCTAAGCTCTTCCTTTCCACTGTAGAAAGGCATATTCACATCATCATTTTTTTCCCATATGTTTGACCACCCCAGGCGGTAGAAGGATGCTTTTGGAGCTGAGGAACTGAAGGAGACCTCAATTTGAAGAGAAGATGACACGACTCATGAGAAAGATCTCTGTACAGATCCTACCTATCCAGTAACACACAGTATTTTGGTTTTACTGCAGTGCAACTGGCAAGCTTGTGGCAAGCCAGGGAGCTTGGCACTGTGTTTCAGCAGTGGGAACTGGCTCTGCAGAATCTTTGTAATTTCTTCCTGCCTACTAGTTGCTGTAGTCTGAGATGTGGAGTTTAGCTAGAGGCAATCCTGGCATCTATGTTGCGGTGGCTGCAGTGTGAGATTGCCGGAATAGAAATTCAGTACATAAAGTTTTTGGAGATCTCTAATATTTCTGAGTGTAATTAGGCAGGTGTCTGTCATTCCTTTCTAAGGCCCTTGTAAGTCAAAAAGAAAGGAAAAATCTCGGCATGGATTGTCACTGCTCCATTCAAAACAGTTGGAATAACCTGGCATTCTGACAACTTTTATTCTAGGAAGATGCTGTGATTGGTGTCTTGAATTTACACTACTGAGTTGCTGAACTTCCTGTCCCCTTTAAAGTAGCTCTGACTCCCAGAGGTTGTCAGTTTGAAATTACAGGTTTATAAAGCTGTCTCTTGTCGTTAGACATCATAGTTACATCAGTATAGCTTGGGGATTTTTATTAGTGAAATCACCACAGCTTCTGAAAACCCTAGTTGCAGATCCAGAAGTCCATTGTCTCAAGTTGTATAAGATTAAAGATAGTCTCAAGCAGTTTACGATTAAGGTATCGGGCAAACAGCAGTACATGTGTGCTCATGAGGTATTTTGTGTGGTGGGTACAGTTAGACATAAGCCTGTCTGAGGGTTAAGTGCTCAAATAAAAACCAGTTTTGGCTTGGGTGTCACGCAAGCAGCAAGCGAGATACTCTTTTTGAAAGTGTAACGCTGTCCTAGCATAGCTGTGTGTTTTCTGAGGTGAAGTTGACGTGCATTTGTCTGTCTTGGTGCATGTGCAGAATGTCTGTATCCATTTTAGCCTGTTCGTTTCCTTGTTTAGATGTGATCTGTGAGGTATGGCCTAAAATTTTTCTCCTTCCTGGTTCTCCCTCCCTGGTTCTCTTGTTTTTCTCAAGGAACTGTCATGATCTAGGCCTTTGCACTCAGGCTATTAGTGCCAGCTTGTACTTTATTCACCTGCTCCCCCAAGGGTAGCAGTATTTATGTTTGTGGGAATGGGAACGCCAGAATTCTCTTCTGCTGTTGCATGGTTTCTCTTTTGAAGGTTATGTCGTGCTAATTTAGATCATGTAGCTCCTCTGGATGGTAACAGATTTTTTTTTTTTTTTTTAAGGACTTCTGAAAAATAAAAGACGCTAGTCTGAATTTAAAAGATATTAATGATATGAATTGGATATCTGAAATTGACAATATGTATCCACTTTTTGGTAACATAGTCTCTCTGTCTCTCTTTTGTGGATTTAACATGTAGAGCTTTAGCATGTAAAATATTTGTGAATGTTCTTGTCTAATTTTACATTGATTTTTTTTTTTTTTTTTTTTTTTTTTTTTACTTCCTGTGCTTCTGTCTTCTCCTTCCTGTCCATGCTCAGATCAGTGCTGTCTGTCAGTATGACACTAAACTACCAAAATAGCTGGGTTCTGCAGGAGCAGTGAAATTTAATCCTCTTTTCCTTTTGTGTACCAGTTTGTTACCAGCTATTTGTTAAATCTGATGGTTGTGAGTCTTGATAGGCTTTATACAGCTTTTTTTTCTTCAAAGCTTTTAGAAAGCAGGTGAAAGGTAAAGCTGTTAGATGGGTGCTCTAGACCTTGAAAAAGATTTCAGTCCACTCTTAAAGAAATGTCTGATACTAAAAAATGTCCCTGAGCTAAAGATTCTTTCTTTGGAAAGTATCCAGGAAATGCAGAGGAAGCCACTGCATTCACTTAATCTGGGGAACAAAAACAGATTTTTATTTTTTTTAAATTGTCTATAGTGTTAGAACTGACAGTAAATATCACAATAGTTTGAAGGTCATTTTGAATTCTATTTTGTTATTATGCACTTTGAGGGGCATGAGGGGACCTTTCATGCCTCAAAAGAAACAGAACTTTTTTTTTTAAGTTTTTTTAAAGTTTATAAACCACTTTATCATCAGTTTATATGTTCACTGCTTCTTTGTCTTGAAATAAGCTATTTTTGAATAATATAACTCCTTTTCTTCACGACTCTGCCTTTCAAAATGACCCTCTGAACTGACCTTTTTTTCTTCCTTTGAACAGAATTTCCTTAGTAATAGTAGTTGAGAAGACTGAGAAGCAGACCTCCTCAGGTTGTCTAGAGTTGCAATTAAAAAAAGGCAACCCACACCTTTGAAAGCCAGATCCAAGGCGCTGTATACTGCTGGGCACTGTAAAGGCAATCAATGCCTAGGTGCCTGTTAGTAAAACTCCTAGAATAACTTAGTCAAAAATACTTGTGTAGCTTGAAAAAATAAATGTTTGTCTTTTCTGAGTGTATCAGCAAACTTAGATTCAGAGGAGTATTCAGCTGCCTGATTTTCGTTCAGCTTGTGGTACGGGTGATGTGAGATATTTTTGGATCATATAAGTAAATGCAACTGGATCCTGCAAGAGCCATCAAGAGGCAAGTGGCAGGAGACTTTGAAGTAGTTTTGTAAGTCTTCCTTTTGGGGGCTTTGTCAAATTTGCTTGGATTGAGAGGGTGACTATTTCATTCACTATATATCCAAATTAGAAATGAAGTTTCAGACAAGTAATACCAGTTCTATTTTCTCAAGAGTGTCATTGAATGTAAAACTAGCTCACGTGTATCTTCATCTACATCTCGGTATTCTGGTTCTCAGCAATTCCTGTTTTAGTCCTTTATTAATTTGTGTCTTGATGTTTTGTGTCAAGGCTCTGTTTAGCACTTTCTCAAAATCAAGGATTTGGAATGAGAGAGTTATAGAAATAAAGACATCAATCAAATAGTGAGCCCTCTAGTGTAGTATCGTGTTTGACAGTGGCTAGTAGTGTTTCCTTCTGTGTAGCCCAGACACCTCTGTGCAACAGGGTATTCAGAAAAGAATTGAATTCCTTTGTCTCATGCAGTTAGTGGTTTTGTTGTACCTTACCGCTTGTTCATATAATGTATGCTTTTCGTCCAATTTAATCTAACATTTGTTTTCTTTGTGTTTTTTTAGTGGAAAAGTAGTTGTCATGTTTCCAATACTAATGAAAATTATTTTATAGTCATTTAATGTGCATTTATAAAGAGTGATAAACAAGGTCCTTAGAAGTTAATATACACATGATATTATTGAATAAATTTCACGTTCATATGAAATTTCATTTTTGAAGTTACATTCATTTAGTGCCTGTGCAGTGTTGCCTTCAGATGACACAAGCATAAGGGAGATCAACACAGCTCATAACACTGTGAACTTTATTTGCATTTTGTGCTGTTACTGTATGGCATCACATGACGGTGATCTCTGTTGGAAGACGTGCTTTTGCAGCTTGACATTGAAATCAGGCCTTTTCTTTGTCTGGTTCAGTCTCAGAGGCAATTCCTATCCTGATGGTTTTACATAAACACAGTTTAGAGAATACACTGCATTGAATACGTAAAGATGGCAACTGCAAGTTCTTTTCTGTGGACCAGTTAGAGTATATGCATAAGCAGAGTATCATCTCTCTTGCCTATTTTGAGTTTAAAAGATGAGGTTGATGTCCCTTCCTGTCAAGTCTATAGGAACAGAAGTTGAAATTTCAAGAGCAGTTAGTATGTTTCAGTATCACAGTGTTTTCTTTCTTTAAACATTTGAAAGCGTTGCTTCTATTCTTCAGGAAAAATGCAGCAAAATTTACTTTTGCATATGATTATTACCTTCTAGGTATTTAAAATATTAGGAATGGTATTGTAAAATTAGCATATAGCTATATGAACTTTTTGCACCAGCAGCTCGTGTCTATCATACGATTTAAATTATTTTTCATTGCTGTAATGTATATTATTATAACTAAGGTAATAGAGTGTGTTTTGGATGTAACAGTATATGTACTTAATAGATGTATGATTTAACCTCATTTTAGAAGTTTGTTACCATCAAGTTATATTTTAAAAGTAACTTGTATTATATAAACAGATTTCTTTTTGAAAGCTACATGCATATTCTAAAAAAATCAACCCTTTTTTCCAGGTCCCTTTACAGATGTAGTAACTACAAATCTTAAACTACGAAATCCATCAGATAGAAAAGTATGCTTCAAAGTGAAGACCACAGCGCCTCGTCGATACTGCGTGAGGCCAAACAGTGGAATTATTGACCCGGGATCGTCTGTAGTTGTTTCAGGTAAAACCATGCAGTTGTAGGTTAGATTTCATTAGGCCTTTCATGAAGTTCTATAATGCTTGATCTTGGAGGCTCTTTGAAGTATGTCAGCTTTTTAAAAATATTTTTCAAAAATAAAACTGCTGCCCTTCATTACTGCAATGTCAACTTGAAGTAGAAATGCAACGATATATGAAAAATCTGCCATACAGAAATACTTGCTATTTGTCACATTTATCTGCAGCTCTCTGAAAGCAGGAAAAGAAATTTGGAAATGGGCAGTGACATTAAGAGTACCTTTGCTTCAGACTATTATATTCATGCTTATGTCTAGAAGTAGGACATTGCTTGGCTGGTTTGATATCTTTAAAGTTTAACATTTGACAGTTCATTGCATTTTAAAAAAAATAAATTCGTTTACAATTGTAGGCTAGTTGTTTTGACTGTAATATTAGTCCCTGAGCTCTGTTGTTTCATAATTCTTCCATTTATCACAGTAGTATATCTTAAGTGGCAATCATTACATTTCTTTTAAAAAATATATTTTCTATTATTTTAGGTAGGTGGAGTACTTTGTAGCTCTTCAATTTGAAAAATCTAGTGCTTTTCACTATAGAGACACTCCCTCCTTATTCTGTTTTTGTTTTTTTGTGTGAAGGTTTTAAAAAAAGAATCCTTACTTTTCAGCAGAGTGTGAGCCCTGAAGCCAGGCAATACTTTTTTGTTTTTTCCATGAACTCCATGTAGGTTTGGCTTACACACTTCATGCTGACAATCCATAGAATTTTGATACCTGGACATGAAATGGTCTAATCCTATACTGGAGTGTAGAGTGTCAAAAAGACCGAGTGTTAGTAATCATGGGAGTAGACATTCTCAAGAAAATGGGAAAAGACTAGGTATCATAGAGTCATAGAATGGTTTCGGTTGGGAGGGACCTTAAAGATCATCTAGTTCCAACCCCCTGCCATGGGCAGGGACACCTCCCACTAGACCTGGTTGCCCAAAGCCCCATCCAGCCTGGTCTTGAACACCTCCAGGGATGCGGCATCCACGACCTTCCTGGGCAACCTGTTCCAGTGTCTTACCACCCTCACAGGAAAGAATTTCTTTCTAGTATCTAATCTAAATCTCCCCTCTTCCAGTTTAAAACCATTACCCCTTGTCCTATCACTACACTTCCTGACAAAGAGTCCCTCTCCAGCTCTCCTATAGGCTCCCTTCAGATATTGAAAGGTAGCAGTCTTCTGATTTGGTAAAATATTTTCGTAGGTCATTCTCCTGATCATTTTGAGCTAGGAATCTGCAGAATAAAGGGGGTTCTGAAACCAGTGATTGTAAAGGGTGTGGACCTACCACATTTCCTAACTTGGAGAGACAGGAGTACCCTTTTTATAGGCTGTGGTCCTGTAGGTTGTAGAGATCACAGACAATACAGCTGTGAGCTCCTGGATCTCCTAAGTCTAGAGAGCTGATTTTTGTAGAACCCTTGGAGAGCTGTAGCAAAGTAAAAGGGAAATGTGGAGCAATCTTCAGAGCTTTTCAGATTCATATCCTTATACCCTTTGGGAAGTTTAAAAGAAGCTGGAGAAGTAGCTTCAGGTGATACGTTCAAATGTTGCAAGGAACACAGAAAAACATTGTATTTATGATTGATTAAAACCTTAGAGTAACTTTCCTTGTAGGAGAGACACCAGTTTTCTCATCTAATAGAATCTGTAGAATGTGACCCTTTAAAACTTCATTATTGCTTACCGTGGACAGTCCAGTGTCTTATGGGTGAAAGATCATTTTACTGAGAATTGGTTCAAGGCTACTTTATTTCTGTCTTCAGTTTTGACTTACAACCATTTTGGCTTAACTGTGTGTTTGGTCTGGTATTGGGGATCTTTGCTGTGGGTAGTCATATATCACGATCAAGATACTGCTGGACTTTCTCTTCAGGGAATTGAATAGATTGAAGTATTCAGTTTGCCTACTGTAAAATGTGTGTTCGTAGTTACAAATCATCTTTCTGATGCTTTGAATACTTCAGTTTTTTAAATAAGGCAATACTGGAGCTGTAAACAATATTTCAGCTTCAGGTTCACCAATAAAAGGAAACAGTAACATGTTGCTCGACTCTTCAGTTTCCATAGCAGGGAATCTTTGATATCTCTTTTTCTGTATCACTGGATTCTCATGCAGTTATTCAGCTACAGTGACCCCAAGCTGCTCTTGTGTGTAGTTGTTAAGTTACAGTGACTCCACAATGCTTTTCAGAATGAAGTTCTCTTCCCCAAAGTGTCAGCTTCATCTTTTTGTTTTTAAGCGTATAATTTCTTTTAGGTCATTTGGTAAGCCAAGTGCGCAGATAGTTTTTCTAGTGACCCACTTTATCTCATAGATCTCCCAACTGAATATTTTCAGTGCTGACTCATCTTTCATATAATTAAAAATAGATTTCTTTCACATTGTTGTGCAGTGAGAAATGACTATAGGATCCCGTGGGCTGAAACTCTGTGTTCAAAACTAAATGTTGAGTTAGTGTTAGCTGTCTTCAGCCTGTATAATGCATTGTGCTGATTCAGAGCCAAGACAGTTTTTAAATTTGTTGTTGGAGATTGATTTGACAGCCATCTTAAGGAATTACTTAAAATGGGCTTTTTTGTTTATCATTCAATTGTGAATCACTAGATAACCTTCTTTGGCCATGCTTATACATTTTTTTTCCACAAATATTAATTTGGTAAGACCTGTTTTTCTTTACTTTGTGGTAAATTAACTGTTTATTTTCATATCATGTATTTTCAGAATATAGCATGTTACTCTTCTTTCTTCACAACTTGTTACTGCTGTTCTTCTGATTGTCAGACCCCTTTAAGATTTATTTTGTGGAGATAAAGCCCATCTGTGTAGAAAATCTCAGCCTATTAACAGGAGACTTGCTTTCATAACTTTTTGCTACAATTCCCCTAGAAGTGATCTCTGGACTACTCAGGGATTCCAGGAACGTTTTGAAAACTGTGTATATTCATGAAATTTTCCATGATTACTGAAAACCGTGAAGAGGTTGAAAAGCTCTTTGAATTTGTGGGTTGTCTTTTTCTGCTGCTTTTCAATTCAATCTGATTTTCAGCTGTTACCGAGTGGTCAAAGAACATAAAGTTATTTAACTAGTTATCCAAGGATTCTGCCAGGATATGAAGAAGTTCTCTGATGATGGAAAGCTGGCTTTGCCATTTTTCAAGTTTCCATCTGTTCTCTTGGCTTTAGGAAGCTGAAGTACTGCATGCTATTCAGTAGTCTGTTGATGGAACAATTCTTAGAGATAAATTGCTGTAGCATCCATACCTGGAAGAAGCATTTAGTTTGATCAGTTATGTTTTGGACCACAGTGATTCCAACGATAAGGAAACCTGATTTTTAAACCTTTCCAAATGAAACTGTATGAAAGCATGTCAAATACTGTGTTTCCTTTATGTGCTCTATTTGTGAAATATATGTGATTCAAGTTATTCACTTATCCTTTGATTATGCTGTATGTAATATTAAAGAAAAAAAAGAGAGATAACCATCCTGTACTAAACACCTGCAACTAACTTCTAACTATTTAAGGCCTAAAGTTAGGATACAGTGTAATTAAATTTGGAATTAACTTTTTTTCATAGATACCAGGGAATTTTGAAAGGCAGAGTTAGTAATTTTGATACTGTACTTAGTATTTTTATAAACTAATGCAATTCAGTCCTAATATGAAGAATTTATTCTCTCTGAAGGGGAGCATGTTGATCTACACATCCAATGAAGATTCAGAATTGTGGAAAATATAGTTGAGTTGTTGAAAACTATAGCAGTATTGCAGTCTCCAGACTGTATTGGCTCAGAATATAGAGGAATGTTGTTCAGAGCATACAATGTGGGTTTTTTTAGCTAAATTAGAATTTCTGCTGTAGCTTTCTCATTGTTGTAAAATAGGTAAATATGCAGATAATTGATAGGACTCCATAAATGTTTGGGTTTGTTTTTTTTTTTAAAATCTTTATGTTAAACTACTTCAGCATCTCTTTTAATTTCGTGTAAAGATATACTGAACTGGAGTTTACTTTCTGTGGAAGACAAGTGTATATACACGGTCAAATAATTTATCTCTACAGTTCACTCTGAGTCCTCATCCTCTGGTAGACCAAGTTGGAAGTGTACCCGCTGTTTATTCTCAGCCAGCAACTAGGACCACTCAGCCTCTTGCTCGCTCTCTCCAGTTGGGATGGAGGACAGAATTGGGTTGAGATAAAGACAGTTTAATAGGTAGAGCCAAAGCTGTGTGTGCAAGCAAAGCAAAACATGGAATTAACTCACCGCTTCCCGTGGGCAGGCAGGTGTTCAGCCATCTCCAGGAAAACAGGGCTCTGTCACATGTAACAGTTACTTGGGAAGACAAAGGCCATAACTCCAAGCATCCCCCCCTTCCTTCCACTTCCTCCAGCTTTATATTCTGAACATGACATCCTATGGTATGGAATATCCCTTTGGTCAGTTGGGATCAGCTGTCCTGGCTGTGTCTCCTCCCAACTTTCTGTACACTCCCAGTCTACTTGCTGTCAGGGTAGTGCGAGGAGCGGAATAGGCCTTGACTGCTGAGCAGCAACCACAAACATCAATGTGCCATCAACACCACTCTCATCCTGAATCTAAAAAGTAGCCACACACCAGCTGCTAGCAAGAAACTTAACTCCATCCCAGCTGAAACCATGACACGCTCAGCTTCCCCCTGTATATTTAATTATAATTTATGTGGTCCTGTACTCCTGTCCAGAGTAAGGCCACTAATTGTCTCTGAAAGGGGAAAAGGGGGTAACACGATAGTTTGTTTCAGGGTCCTCTCCAGACAGACAGTATGGTTGGAGGTAGACTTTACTGGTTGTGTACCCATCCCTCTGTTTCAGTAGCCTCCCGACACAACCATAACAAACCTTGTGTATTCAGGTATTTCTGCAAGCCCTTATGTTGTGCACCTGGGTATGTGACTATATCCTATAAAAGTTCTAATCTCCTGGTCTGTACTATAGACATCATGTTATTTCAGTCCCTTTGGACTAGAAAAACCACACACAAAATAGCGATGCCAAGGTGACTTGTACAACTGCTATATGATATATAAACATACAGTCTGCTCCTGGATGACCTTGTAGAACTTGCATGGCTGAAGGAACTGTGCTTTTGTGAGTAGAGCTTTCATTTAAAAATATTGTAGTGCTGTAAAAATAATAGAAGCTATAAATACTGTCAGTGATGTATTTTTTTTTTCACTGAGCTTGTGCACACTTCAAAATAATAACTTAAGAAACATGAGTTTCTGTTCTAGACCCAACAGAGTTTTCAACTTTGGAAAGCTGAAAGTACAGTCAAAAGGCTGTCATTCAGAAAGTCTCAACTGCTTGCATACTCTACCTCTGGTACTTGTAGCACAAACTATGTTGTGTCAAAAATGTCTGGTTTCATCCAGAAGGTGTTATGTTTTGGGGCGTGTATGTGTTTGTTTTTGGTTTGTTTTTGTTTTTGTTTTGTGTGTTAATATCTGTATTACAGTATGTTGAAAGCTGAAAATGCAGTGAGAAAGTATGTAAGATAAAATGCAATGAGTGGGTGTTATGAGTTTTATTTTAATGTTTCACATAAAGCTGCCTTTACAGGGAATTTTGTTTTGAAGCCTATCTTTTCTTTGATGGTAAAATGTGGTGGTGCCCCAAAACTTGCCATAGAGTTAAAGTATGTACCTGGATTTTGGAGTATTTTTGGACAAATGTTAACTGTTAGACTGGACTTAAAACTGAATAAAATGTATGGTATAGTTATATGCATAACTAATCACTTTAAAAATTATTTATTTTTTAATAAAATAAAACCCCAAATTTAAAGTGTTTTAAAGATGTATTATTGAAGCCCAAGGCAGCTTTACTTCCTGTTAATGGCTGTAGCATGAATGAAGTGTTTTAGTAGTTTTACTGCCACCTTAGGTCAATATACCTTTAAAAGTCAGTTGAACTTGCCCCACTGGTTGGTTGTCTACCTAATAATGTAGTTTCTCTCTGTCTTTTTTTCTATCTTCCCCTGACTAACCATCATAATGTGCCACAGCACAGAACTGTGCTACAGTTCTTTAACTTTGCATTCACTTAGTCATAGACTTTGTTCATTCCGAAGAGAACTCCTGTGGTGTTTGCTTGACGGTTTTTTTTGTCTGTCTTACAGGATCTCTTTGTTTATACTTGTATATGAAATGTCTTTTAGCTATAATAATTACAGAAATAATCATGTCAGCTACACCAGATTCTGAAAAACTTTTGAGATCTCTCAGTATCTGTTGCTACAGTGTATATCTGCTCTTTTCAACACTGCCTTTGCATTTTAATTTTCAGTGTCTGTTCAGGAAGAAGCACATCTGAAATGGATAGAATACTTGTTGCAGGTATTAGCTGAAGAATCACTGATTTATGCATTATTTTTTCTTTTGAACAGTAATGTTGCAGCCTTTTGACTATGACCCAAATGAGAAGAGTAAACACAAGTTTATGGTACAAACAACCTATGCACCACCAAATATTTCAGATATGGAGGCAGTGGTAAGTAACACTGGGGTAAAATGTCTTTTTTTTTTTGTTTCCTTAAAAATTCAGGCTTAAGTGTAGATGAATCATGGTTTTGCCAATTTTTTTGGAGAAGAATTGGGGTTTTTTCTGAACAAGTATGACTTCGATACGTTATTCATGATTTTTTCGTATTGAATACAAGCTTAGTTCTTGGAACTTGCCTAGTGAACTGATTGAATGGAAATAGTAGTTAATCTAAGGTAAGGTCAGTGATAAAATCTGGGCATGTTGTACCTCATATACAGCTAATATGAAGGGGATAAACAGATTGTATTTGAAGGATCAAGAGTATATTTAAACAGTAAGCCTCAAGCTTTATGAAATGGGTGCATTGGTCTGAAAAGTGTTTAAGTGAAATGTTGAATGGGATTATAGTAAATTAAAACGTTTGGAAGACTAAGATATATCTCTCTACAAGATACCAAGTGGCTAAACACAACACAAATGATAGATTTGTTTCCTGTTTTAACAGAATGTGCAGATTCAGTTCGTAGGCAGGGTTAGTCTGATGAAAGGTCCAGAAAGAAGATACTTAGGTTTGTGCTTGCTAGTTCAGAAGGACACCTCTTTCTGACCTTACAAGCTGGCAGCAATGGGAAGGAAGCCTTCAGTTGTGCCCTTTGTAAGTGGGCTCCCATAAGTTTGTATATTACAGTGCAGGGGAATGATGGATAGGCTTTCTAGACAGAGATTCTTTCAAGGAATGCCTGAGTTTACGCATACACGTTCAGTGCTCACTCGAGGCAGAGGAGGGGGGAAACAAAGGATGAAGATGAGGTTTAATAAATCACGAAATCCACTAGACATGTTCAGGTCTCGTGTCTGTCCCCCGATATGGAGGGAAAGACTACTGTGGCATCATTCTTTACCGGAAACAGTGGAAAAGATTTTGCTAAGCTTTTGAGACATGTAGCTAGAAAGTTAACATCTCTCTTCCTTGTTGATCTGGTTTACTTTTTCTTCATATGCTCTGATAGCTTTTGGTTGTGTGTAGTAAGTGAAGCGTAACTGTTTGGTGAGGATATAAAGATCCTCTTTAGAAATACCTTTCAAATAACTGCTTTCTCAGTGTGTTCCAAGTGTATAATACTGAGAAACAAATCTTGCAGAAAATCGGTAATTGTAGTTGTAAATTACAGTACAACTAGTGCCACTGAAAAAAAGAACAACAACAAAAAAAGGAAGGATGTTATGAAAAGCCTGGATATTCTAGTCTGTAAGACCTGCAATTGATCCGTTGTAACTATTATTGAGAAAATTGCTGCAGACTTCAGATCAGTCTCTGAGCCTACGGTTTAAGGCAACTACATGAAGTGAAAGTTAATTGTCAATTGAGCAGAGAGATTCTGGCATGCTTCACAATTGTTTAAGTATATTTGTAATCATTATAATTTAAAAATACTTTTTGTAAATGGCTTTGAAAAATTCTCTAGGTCCAAATTGTAATGTATTATTCAGTAAAAAGAGGAAGTGGTTAAAAATCTAAAATATGATGAACTAAAGAAATTTACTCTGTATATAATGTCACTAAAAGGTGTCTTTCAATCTTTTGTTTAAAATCGGTGCTTCCATGATGGGACATAAAGAATACATTTACCAAGGAGTGATAGGGCTAGAACTTTGTTCTAAAATGGACTCAGGTGGTACTTGTTCCTCACTGTGTGTTAAAGGAACAACGGGGTTGTCCCCTTCTTATCCCCTACAAACCTCTGGATCCATCCTTGTATTCAATTTAGTCATTTTCATTTCCAGACTTAATTAACCATTTCTAGCTTTCATTACTTAGCAGTAGTAAATGTGAACAAAAAAACATTGTTCAGAAGCAAATCTGAAAATTGCAGCTAGGTAAGGACAGTATTCAGCTGAATAGGAGGCAAGTACTCAGTGCCAGCTTATGAACTGTTCAGATGTTTGCATGAGTGTGGCATGTTAAGTAACTGTATTAATTGTTGTCTTAGTGGAAAGAAGCAAAACCTGATGAGTTAATGGACTCCAAATTGAGATGTGTGTTTGAAATGCCCAACGAAAATGATAAACTGGTAAGTAAGAAAAGAGTAAGAAATGGTCATACACTGATCAGTAGGATCTCATGGAAATTTGTTTTGGATTTTTTTTAAACCTATTTGATTTATTAATTAAATGGAATGTAGGAATTTGTACTACATTAGACAGGAGGGGTGTTCAGTATCTAACTTTGGAAAGATTCATAGAGACCCAGGTTTCCCCCAGGTTCAAAGAGTCCTTGAAATACCATCTGGTCCATGCATTTGTTGGAATGGTCCAACTGCATCTTAAAAACCTCCAGCAATGGAGATAATGTCTAAAATTATATTTTTGTTATTTTTTATTATTGATTTGCTTTAGGATTATTTTGCTGTCCGATAAAAAAAGAGAATCTTCAATACTGCATACAGTGAAAAGTTAATTGCATCATTTGCTTTTTCAAGTACTAAATGCTTTTCAGTTTTAAAAATTCTGTGCCTAATTCAGCTGAGTTAGAAAATTAAGTACTCTTTAGAAATTAATGTATGCTTTGGGAATCCTAAATGCATTTTTTAAGCTAATGGTAAAGACAGATGTTCAGACAAAAAAAAAATCCCATTACCTTTTTCATGCTCCTGCCTTCAGACAAAATAATGTTCCAGTTGTGTAGGAGATGAGTTTCATTGTATATTGACTGAAGATGTTGTTTTTGTGTTGCCTAATACTTGGAATAATAGTTAACTGTCAGTTACCTAGAAGTTTTGCAGAATATGACGAAATTCTTATGCATTAACACTTCTTTTACTGTCATAATTGAAATTCTCATTCATGGAATCATAATACTGTATATTCTGGGTTGTTTGGGTTTTTCAGGTTTGGGGGGGTTTTTTTGGTGCTCCTTTTAGCATTGTGAATTAGAGTGCTACAATAGGATTTCTGTAAACAATCTCACTCCATTCATGGCCTTGACTTTTTTTTTTTTTTTTTTTATTGTCCGTTTTTTTAGTAGTTTGAAAAAAATTTTTTAGCAAATTTTTTTAAAAGAGGGGGAAAATATAAAAA